CTACTAAAATACAAAAAAATTAGCCCAGCGTGGTGGTGCGTGCCTGTACTCCTAGCTACTCGGGAGGCTGAAGCAGGGGAATCACTTGAACCCAGGAGGTGGAGATTGCAATGAGCCTAGATCGCACCACTTCACTCCAGCCTGGGCGACAGACAGAGACTCTGTCTTAAAAAAAAAAAAAAGAATCTGTTGCTGACAGCATATTATCCAACCTGATCATCTCTGCCTTTTAATACGAATATTTGATTCATTTACATTTATCATAATTAATTATATGATTGGGTTTAAACCTACTGTTTTGCTATTTATCCTGTATTTATACCATCTATTTATTTTGTTCATGCTTTCCTGCCTTCTTTTGAATCTTCATGCTCTCTCTTGGGCTTTTGATTATTCTTCTTGGTATTGTGTTTTAGTGGTTACTCTTGGGATTAGAATATGTGTTCTTACCTTATCACAATCCACTTGTAATTAATATTATGCCACTTTGAATTAAATGCAAAACCCTTAGCACGATACAGTGATATTACTGCTCCCACCATCCTCTGCACTCTTGCTGTCATCCATGTTTCTTCTATATAGAGTCCCCGTTATCCACAGCTGGTAGATTTCAAGACCCCAGTGGATGCCTCAAACTGTGATAATTTTGAGCCCTACATATACTGTGCTTTTTCCCATATATATACACCTAGGATAAAGTTTAATTGTAACCCAGTAAGAGATTAACAACACACAGTAAAGATTAACAACAATAATCACAACAGTATAATTATGACAATATACTGTAATAGAAGTTACATAAATGTGGTATCTCTCTCTCTCTCCCCCCACCCCGTCTCTCTCTCTCTGTCTCTCTCTCAATATCTTTATATTTTTAGACCAGTAACTGAAACTGTGAAAAAAGAATTGCTGATAAGGGAGGACTACCATGTATGTAATGAACCCCATAACATAGTGTTATTACTTTTGCTTTAAATAATTAAACAATCAACAGTCTTTTTGGAAATTAAGGGAAAAAATATGTCGACCATTTCTGTTGCTCTTCCTTTCTTTCCCTAGAGCCAAATTTCCATCTAGAATCATCTCTCTTTAGCCTGAAGAATTATGTGTAGCATTTCTTAAAGTCTAAGTCTGATGGTAACAAATTCTCTTTTTCAGACAAGACTTTCGTGTATATGAAAATATCTTTATTAACACTCTAATTTTTTGGCGGATAATTTTCTTGGATGTAGAATTCTGGGTACTTTTTCTGTCAGCCTTTTAAAGATGCCACACTACCGTCTTCTGGTCAGACAGGGGTCCTCCTCGGTCTTCCGCACCTGACCCCTTGCCGAAGACCTTCTGACCCCATGCCACCTCCTCTCATGTGATCAAGGATCCCCAACCACCTGCTCTGCTACAGTCCAGGGGCCTCTGAGAAGCCTCCTGCTCCTTCGAGGGCTCTGCCGCCATCCTCCTGTGGCTTTTACTGCTCTTACACTCCCCTTCTCGTTACCTCTTACCCACCTGCCCAGACTCTCAGTTCTGCCGTCGGCCCTGAGCGTTGGTCCGCACGCTTCTCTGCCTCCCCACCGCATGTGCTCTGGCCCTAGCATTTGGCCCATGGAAGGCAGGGGAGAGGCAGTGAGGTCCCAGGCTTTCATGAAAACCAAGCGTAGTGTTGGTGTCTTCTTTTCTCCCACTCTCCTCTGTGCTACTCGGTACCAGGATGCATCTTCCCAAGTAACTGAACTGAATGCCTCCCCTCAGCGGGTAGGGACACCTAAGAAGGCCAGGCTTGGGGAGCACATGAGAGGTGAGACCTCGCTGATGCTCTGCCCTAAGCCAGCTTGGTCCTCAGGCCCCCGAGTCCTAGTTTTCATTTCAGCCACTTCCTGGATTTGATGCTGATGTTGGCAATGCAGCTGTATCCAGGATACAAATCCATAGAACGCGGCCACGCAGCACCCAGAGAATACACTGCCACTCTGCGTCCCCAGCTCCAGATCCCCACAGGGGCACCCACGGGACTCCTGGGAAGCAGGCCTGGATCCTACACAGTGAGGCCAGAGACCCCCACCTGGGAACCAGCCCCTGGTCCCCGCTTTGCCTGAGGCCCCACCCACCTCCCACTAGGTATGGGAGGGGCCTCAAGTCCTTGCTGCTCCAGCCCTCTGGGTTCTTTAAAAGGTAAAGCCCCAAAGAGGAATTCGAAATTCCACAGCTCCTCATAACATGGCCCAGGGGTGTCCTTAACTGTGGTCCATGACAAAGTTTGGGGTGAGGCAGACTGTGTGTTTACAGTACACAGGATCTGACAACTTTCAAATTGTTTCATCGAAGTTTGGAGGAGTGAGGAGATATGAGTACCCAGTAAAGGCAAGTCAGTTATCTATATGAAGTCAGTTTATATATGTATAAAATATATACACGTGTTTATAATATGAGTATGTGTGTGTGGTGTGTGTGTGTGTGGTGTGTGTGTGTGGTATGTGTGGTTGGTGCGTGTGTGGTGTGTGGTTGGTGTGTGTGTGGTGCGTGTGGTTGTGTGTGTGTGTGGTGTGTGTGTGTGGTGTGTGTGGGAGGGGTGTGTATGTGTGTGGTGTGTGTTTGGTTGAACAAGATCCTCATTGCGATCACTACCAAGTCCTCACCGAGGCTTATTGTACAGAAGGTTAGAATATGAAGTCAGCCTGCTGGAATATGAATCTCAACTACCTTCTTCTTTCTCGTCTGCATAATGGGGATAATATACTTACTATAAGTATGACAGTTGTTGTGAGGATTAAATTAGATAATACATGTGAAATACTCAGAACAGCAGAAAGAAACAGGAGCAGGCACGACCCAGGGCCTGCTATGTGGGAACAGACACGGATCAATACGTGTTAAATGCTCAGAACAGTGTCTCTTAAGCCCCCAAGACATTTTGTATTGACAGTCCAGTTACAGTGACTGTTTCTTTGTGGTAAGTACTCATAGCCATAGTGTCTGGTTCTATACCTATCCAGGAATCATGGAATACATTTTGTCTTAGTGCAGGCATAACGGGTCCCTTGTGCCCTAGGCAAGTCCCAGCTCCTGGCAACATCAGCTTTCTCAGGCTGCTAGGATCTCTGGATCGGTGCTGCTCCTCTGAGCGTGGTCTCCCACCTGTAGCGAACCCCTCCAGCCCCTCGGAAAACCTCCATGAACCCCCGGAAAGTACCATACAGTTTTGAGCCTTTGTGCCTTTTCAGGAGGAAGGTCCTTACCTCTCAGCAGACTGAGAAAGGCTACAGCCCCCGTCGGAGGCTGGCTCAGTGGGGTGGATGAGCCAGCACCCTGGTGCAGACACCGAGGTGTTGAAAAGTGGAGGAATAAAAATCATTTGCCAATCAGAAATGAGGGACTTCTCAGCCATCGCTTTCATCACAGATCATGTCAAAGCCAGGGTGTGAGGTTCATCAAACACATGAGTAATTTACCTCTTAGGGCCTGTCCTGCCGACTCTCTGGTCATTCCCTGGGATGGCCTTTCCCAGCTCATAATTGCTCTGAAACCTGGAGCCAGCAGTCTCCGCTACCACGAAACCACTGCTTACCTTGCGAATGGCTTCCGTGGCCACTTGGAATCTCTTCATTCACCTTGCCACCTTCTAAAGCTCTGCCCTCAAAAACATCATAGAGCACCTCTTCTGGGTGCCACCGCACTTCATGCTGGTGAACCTTGGGACAGAGAATGGCCCCTCCTACTCTCCAAGTACCCTCCAACAAGGGGAGAGAAGAACAAGAAAGCCACAGGGCACCGCCACTGTAAGAGGGTCACGTGAGAGACCCAGGATGCATGAGACGCAGCGGGAAACGCAAAAAGAAACAGCAGGCACGGCCCAGGGCCTCCCGTATGGGGAACAGACACTGAGCAGAGAGAGGAATTGTCAGATGTGAAGGGATAAGACAGGACGCTCTGATGGAGAGGCAGCTAGCGGGAGGTTGGGAATGCGCTTTCACCCAAGACCTGAAAGGCAGCAGAGGCCTGCTGTTTCAGCATCGTGTCTGCTGCACCATCCGCACAGCCCCTGTCTACCTCCCCAGCCCTGCCAGGGGGGATCCTTTCTCTTCCCGTGGTGTATCCATGTGTCAGACCGTGTAAGTTAGAGCCGAGACTTGTGCCTGTGCGCTTAGCCCATGAGCATTCGTTGAATTTTCTTATAGTTCAGGGAATATCTTCCAGAAAGTTCTAAGGACATTTATTGGCCCGAAATAGATTTATTTTAAGATTAGGAGAGCTGAAGGCAAAACCTTTGTTGGGAAAGGATCCAGCATCTACGCACCCAGGGGGCTGTCCCGTGCCTGTCCAGTCCCTGCCCCCACAGCCCCACAGCACGCAGCTGTTGCTGGTTTTCAGGCACGCTTCTGGAGGGACCTCCCAGGTCTCAGCTGTTTTGAGATGACAACAGACTTGAAATCCTTGCTGACACAATGATGCAGCGTTTTTATGATGACCAAGAGCCTTCTCGTAAAAATCCCTCTTTTGCACAACACAGGCTCATTCTGACTCTTAAAGGCAATTGCCTCGTCTCTGCTGGCCAAGAACAATAAACAACTTTGAAGGCCAAAAATGTTTCTCTGACCCTAATATCTGCACCGTCCTTGAAACCCTGAAGCTGTATTTGTTTTTCCTCCATCAACCAAAGTTAATGTTAAGCGATTCCCCAACTGCAACCCCACTGATGGAGACTTGAGCCCTTTGCTACGCCTGACATTTGTAGGACCACAGGTGTGTTCATGTCTTCCCTTAGCCGCCTTCTAGTCTCTGTCTTAGAAGCCTTGATAGACATATTCATGGGACCTGTCTTCATTGTCCTTTGAAGCATTTATTCTCAGTATAAAAACCGCCCTTCTCTTACTAACAGAATTCCGAGGGCCCTGGGAGGAAGGAGCCCAGCAGCCTGAGGGCCTTCAGCACAGCCTCTCCCCACGCCAGGCCGTCTGCTGGGAGCTTGGGCCCCGCTGTTCACCATTCCCCTTGATGTGTTTCAGCTACCTCCTGCCTCATCTCCTTCCATCTAAACCTGGCCTGGACACCCACGGCATGCGACACCCCACAGCCAACACCATCCAGAGGGTATTTAAGATGAGCTTCGTGCCCGTTGGCTTCTGGCAAAGGTTCATAGCACGGATGCTGATCAGCCTGGCGGAGATGGACCTGCAGGTATTATAGCTGCGGTTTCTGCATAGGGGGTGCCCAAGGGGCACCTGCAGTTGTACCCTCGTGAGAGGGGAGTGCCCTTTGCTGGGGGGCCCTGCTTGGAGACCCTTCTCCCAGAGCGATACCACTGATGCAGTGCCAGGGGGCAGGTGTGGCATGGGCTGCTGGTCAACCCATGTCAGCCATCCTGTGAGTTCCAAAGCAGCACCCACCTTAGAACACACTGTTTATAAGTGGTGGTTCTAAATGTTAGCCCGCCTCAAAATCACCTGGAGTTGGTTAGAACACAGTTTGGTGGGCCCCACCCCAGAAGTTCTGATTCAGTAGGCATAGACAGAGGTCAAGAATTCACATTTCTGTCCATTCCCCAAGGGATGCCACCGGCCCCGCAGCCACGCCTGGAGAACCGTGGCTTAGAAGCACGGCTTCGCCATCCTGGCTGTACACTAGGCTCGCCTGGAGGAGGTTCTCAAAGACACTAACCACACTCCAGCCGATCAAACAGGATCTTTTGAGTGTGGCATAGTGTTGAAAAGTGATTCCTCTTTGGTTTTTTTAAGGCTCCCAGGCAATTCCCCTGTGCACCCAGTTTGAGAACCACTTGTGCAGAACTTTACATTGCTCTGGTAACGCTGGAGACCCAGCCCAAGGAGTTCGCTTCTGTGGGCTTACCTGGGGTTATGGGAACGAGTCCAGCTGTCAGGCAGCGTGAATTTCATGCAAGGCAGGAACATGGAAGCAATATTTGCTACAGTGGTATTTTTCAAAGTGGCTTTCCCACACCCACAAAATCAGCTTCACCTGGGGACGTGTGAGGAATGCACATTCTCAGGCCCCACCTCAAACCCACTGCGTGAGAAACTGCAGACGGAACCCCGCACTGGTTTTCACAAGCCCTCCAGGGGATTCTGACACACCTTTGGTTTTGTGACCTCCTGGCATAACCCCTGACTGTCAAATCCTTGACATTAAACTCCGTATGAGTTTACTGTTGCTACAACCTAATTAGAAAGCCTTATTGAATTATAACTTCTCAGCTCTATAAAAATGTTCCTTGATCGTCCCATTTTACAGAAATGGTAAGAAAAATAAACGCAAAAGCCTTAACGTCCATCGTGACATTAGCGGCCTGCACTGGCGGCGAGGGAGATTTGTTTATAGCGTCAGAAGTTTGCACTGATTGAAGGAGTGGGTGCTGGCACTCCGACGTTCCCATCCCTCTGCCCTCCCTTTGAACTCTGTGTCCTGCTGCGTTCTCAGGGGAGGGTCAGGAAGCACTAGCGTGGTGGGAGGCCGAGCTCACAAGTGGGGCCCAGCTGGGCCTGGAGGCCGGGGCGCCCTTCCGGGCAGCAGCATCCCTCACTTGAAGTTAGGAAAGAAGTGCTATTGAAATTCAGATGGGTGGCAGGAAGGGAGAGAGAGTTCCGTCCCATCACTCATCAAAGCCATGCAAATTCAGGCAGCAGGGAGACGCCACTTTTCATCCATCACATTAGCAAAGGGCTGAGCCGTAATCCCCAGCCCTCGGCACGATGCGGCCCTGCGCACACTGGTAGGTGGTGCACAGGACAGCCTCACCGTTCAAATAGCGATTCCTCAGGACGCATCCAGACCTTTAAAACATCCAGGCCCTTTGGCACATAATCCCACTGGTAAACATCTAAACGAAGGACATCAGTTTGAATCAGAGAAAGCTTTGTGCCTTTCTTATGTGCCTCACACGGTTTTGAGGGAGCAAAAGATTGGAACCAACTTACCCTTCCAGAAGAGGGTGGTTCACGAAATGGCTATACTTGACAGAATATTAAACTTTAGAAAAACGAATTTAATGTGTGATTTTAATGGCATAGGAAAAGTGAAGTTTTTTAAAGTATACAAAATTAGAAATCCAATATGGCTTCAGCTGTTTTTTATACATATATGGAGACAGAAAAAAAAAATCCTGGAATAATGCATACCAAAATCTGAATGATCTCTCTGCTTGGTGTTAAATTAGTGTTTGGTTTTCCTTCTTACATTTTTCTGTATTTTCTACATTGTCTAATATGAGTTTTTGCTTGTAAAGTCAGAAAAGGGAAAAAAATTTAAAGGACAGCCTATGTTTCAATTCTTTGGAAAAACTGTGTTTCCGGAATGCCCTGGAGACCTCATCAGATAATGTAACGTTTAATTTGGCAGCAGGGATCAGCGGCGTGGAGGAGAGGGTGGGAAAGACGGTGGTCATTTATCAAGATGGGGCCCAGCCCGGCCTCCACAGAGCTCTGCCCAGGGCCAGCGAGGAGCCCAGAATACTTAAGCAGGGTCTTTTCTCTGTCTTTCAGCTGTTTGAAAACAAGAAGAATACTAAAAGCAGGAACAGGAAAGTCACCATTTACAGTTTTACGGGAAACCAGAGAAATCGCTGTAGCACATTCAGAGTGAAAAGAAATCAGACCATCTATTGGCAGGAAGGGCTCCTGGTCACTTTTGATGGGGGCTACCTCAGGTAGGAGCATCTGGAAGCCCACCTGTTGGGCCAGCAGGTGCCACAGCAGCCACCCGGGGCCACCTCCACAGGATGTCTCATCCTCTTGGTGTCCAGAATTGTGCTCCTGAGAGCGGCTTGTCATGGCAGCTTGCTAGAAATGTGAGGCCCTCCCATGAGTGTCCCAGAGGCTTGGGTCTCCTCACCCCGGCTGAGCCCCCCTCGCAGGACAGGAAAGGCAAAGGCAGATGCGGTGGCCACAGCTCAGGACTTGAGGGACGCAGCAGCCATTGAGCTCAGGAGAGCTTTGAGCACCTCCCACGGTCATTCAGGTCACCTTGGTGACCTTGCAGCCATCCTGCCCATCCCCTTGTTCCACCAGAAGCCAGGCTGGGGACAGAGGGTGCTGGGACTCCTCAGCCCCCATCTCCACTGCCCATAACCAGACACAGAACTCACCCCCCTGTGCCATTTATTCTTGGTCTTTTGAGAGAGATAGAACTAAAGTCAGCTCAACAGGCTTAATGAATGATACACACCAAGATTATTTTAATATTTACAATGAACTTTGCAAAATATTCTTCAGCTCTGAGAGGAGAAGAAGTGAAAGGGGAGATAACTTTACAGAGGGCTTGATTGGGACCTGCCGCTTCCACATAGAGGTTCTCACTTAAAGCCCATGGTTGCCGCTGCACAGATGAGAACCCTGAGGCGCAGGGAGGTCCCAGAACTTCCTTAGAGCCTCACCTGAGGGTCAGCTCCCAGGCTGAGCGTCCCTGACTGCAATCTTCCTCGTGTCTCCTTCACCAGGCCAGGTCCAGGGCAAGAACCAGGCAGGGCCACACACACACGTACGCACAGGGAGGAGTCCCCATCAGTCCTGGAGGCCACAGACCCCCTCCAGGTCCCCAGAGGTTGAGTCCTGTCCCTGGGGGTGGGGATATCATCCCAGGGACCCCCAGAGCCAGATCACAATGGGCTCCTTTCGGTTTCTGGGTTGCAGTGTGGAATCTTCTGACGTGAACTGGAAAAAGAAGAAAAGTGGAGGAATAAAAATCATTTGCCAGTCAGAAATGAGGGACTTCTCGGCCATGGCTTTCATCACGGATCATGTCAATTCCTTGATTGATCAGTGGTTTCCTGGTAAGAGAAGGTGCTGGAAACAAGCCCTTGTTCATGCTAATATTTATGAATCAGGGTGGGACTGCTTCTTTGGGGGAAGGACAAAAGTCCCACTGGGATTTGGCCCAAGAAAACCAGGGTGTCTTAACAGACCTTTTATGGGAGTTCTAGCCCTGAGAAGTCCAGCTCTGTCACTGGGGGGAGTACCATGAGGAAGATGGGGTTCAGACCCCACTGGGAATTTGCAGGGAAACAGCCTGCCAGCTGCCCACAGGCATGGCAAGAAAGATGACACTGGTACCACAAGCTGTCCACGGAGATGCTCAGTGTGAGCTCACACATGTCTTGTCTTCACAGTGAGGCCGATGTGGCTGAAATCGGGGGGGAGTTGGCAGATGGAGATTTATCTCCTGTGCAGGGACAGGGATGAAGGGAAGCTGGAGCCACCAAGGGGCCTTGCTCTCCTTCCCTGCCGCCCCACCCATCCCAGCAGTGATCAACCCACTCACACAGCCCTTTTCAGACCCTTTGGATCTGTTTCTTCATTGACAGTTCACTCAAAAAAAAAACTTTTGAGCAAAGTTGCTGAGACCCCCTGTTTGTTTTGCTCTGGGGTAGAGAGGACTCCCAGAGCAGCCTGCAGGGGGGAAGGCCATCGGGGCTAAATGGAACAGGTAGCTGTGGGGGAGGCTGCTCTGAGAGCCTCAGGCCCTGAACACTGGAGGCCAAGCAAGCGAGTGGTGGACGGTGGGTTTGGAATTACAGTGCCGCCCCGCAAGCCTCGGCGTGTCCCCCAGCCTCCTGGGCCAGCCTGCCTGCATGCGGTGCCTGCATCCCAGAAAGCATCAGGGAAGGTGGCGAAAGAGCAGTGGTGGTGTGCACTCAGGAGACACATTCCAGATCCCAGGGCGTTAGAAATAAGGCCTGCAGTCGTAAGGGAAAACGAGCACTTAGATAAAGGGTTTCTCAGCAAGGCAGGTTTACTCTTGTGCAGGGGGGTGCCTTCCATATGGCTGGTTGCTACGAGAGCACACACAACAAAGGAGAGTAGAAGCTTTTATTTTTAACACGACTCTTGCTTTTGTGCCCTTTCCCCATTGGCTGGGGTCAGACTGCACAATTTAAACTAGACTTGATTGGCTAAACATTTAAACTTTCTTAGATACGGTGGATGGGTGGACACATGATGGGAGAGAGAGGAGAGAAGGAGGGGTCGTCTGCGGCAAACTAAAGAGCTGGTCTTTCTTTAAATAGGAAAGGAATGTGAGCGCGTGCTGATAACGCTCCTGGTGCTGTGGCGTGCATGAGCATGTAGTAAAGTCAGAAGAAAAGGAGAAGAAAGGGTTGGGGGTACTGGGAATGAAAGAATAAAAGGTTGAGCTGGCTGTTTGAAGAGAAACCTTGCTGTATCTCACACAGGGTCTGGTCTCTCTGACAGGGTTGGGGTCCTTCCTGTGTCAGCAGGAAGGCTGACCCACAAGGAAAAAGGCTTAGTAAGGAGCCCTCGGAGAAGACAGCTGGGTGTGTGTGTCACGGTGATTTGGGAGGCACTTGGCCACCCAAGGGGGCGCTTAGAACCGTGTGAACCCTTCTGAGCACTTTACAGCTCCCCGCCAGCCAATATTCCCGCCACAGCAGGTGCTGGGCAGTTTGACAGGTCACCTGAGATGAAAAGGGCTCAGGTGAGCCCCTGAGACAGGCTGCCTGGAGCCGGCATCCCCAGCCAGGGGCCCCTTCCCGTGGAATGCCTTGCACATGGACCTGCAGATATCAGATATGCCTGGAAAGTTCTAGGCATCCACCTCCTATTCTGCATGAAGCAGACAGTTGCCCACCCTGAGGGCACCTCCACAGGGCACCTTGGAGGGTGTTTCTCTGCACCTCCTAGCAGAGGCGTGTGAGGGAACCCATGTCCAATGACTCAGTTTTGTCTGTGATCATTTGCACTCATTTCTCCCCCTGCATTGCCTTCATAGACATTGTAACCGGGATGTTTCTCTTAAGAAGGGCGCCTTACACACTGCGGTGGTTGGCTTGTTGGAGGATAGCTCAGACCCAGTCTGCAGTGACCTGTTAGGGCCCAGTCATGCAGGTGGGATCCCCACCCTCCTCTCAGGGCCCCCAGCCAGACTGCTCCGTGTCCCGACTCCTGGACAGTTCTCAGAAGCATTCTGAACCCTCTCTAGACACGTCTTTCAGGACAAACAATCGCACTCTCCAAGAAAAGACCCCTGAAGGTGGCACTGGGTTTCAGCCTGTCTCTTGGGTACAGGCCAGTCCAGGCAGCTCCTCTGCTGTGAAGGCCTCAGGGCCTGGGGTGCAGAGTGCTGCTCGGGAGCCCCACCTGTGCCACCTGCTTGTGAGCTGTCTCCTGCTCTGTTCTTATTTAGCCCTGACGGCCACAGAGAGCGACGGGACCCCACTCATGGAGCAGTATGTGCCCTGCCCGGTCTGCGAGACGACCTGGGCCCAGCACACAGACCCCAGTGAGAAATCAGAGGGTGTGCAGTACTTTGACATGGAAGACTGTGTGCTGACGGCCATCGAGCGGGACTTCATCTCCTGCCCCAGGCACCCGGACTTCCCCGTGCCGCTCCAGGAGCTGGTCCCTGAGCTGTTCATGACCGACTTCCCAGCCAGGTATGCCCAAAGGCCCCTCCCAGAACACAGCGCAGGTCACAGGGCGGCACTCCTCATTATGTAATTGCCGAGTGATCTCCAGGAAGATCCCTCTGGGGCCAGCAGGAGCCCCAGCCATCGCTTCCCACCAAATCACAGTACCTTTTAGGTTCCTATCCTTAGCTGCTTGAAGGGAACAGGCTGCTGGCTTTCCATTTTGGAGGCCTTGGCAGGCCCCGCTGGGAAAGCGCTTTGCAGGTGCAGCCGCCCTGCCTCCCCCCACACCGCCCCCCTTCCCCTCAGCCAGAGCTGCTCTCTCCCAAGTTGCCTCTCCCTTCTGACTCCCACCCAGCCAGCTCTCAGGGGCCAGCAGGTAAGTGCAGCTGGAGCTCCTGGGGAGTTCAGGAAGGGGAGAGCTCCCACCCATAGCCTCATTTACCTTTTTTGTCAAACGTTGACTCCTATCTGTGGCCCTAGCACTGGGCATTGGAACCCTCAAATCTGTTCTTAGAGCTGATTCTGCCTATGCTGACCCAAGATGATAACTAGGGAGAGAATGTGGGAGGAAATAGGAAACGTCATCTTTCAGAAGAAAACTTCCACAGGGGTCCTTCCTCTACAGCCACCACTTCCCTGGGCTTCGCCCTGTGGCAGCCATCACCACCTCTGAGGCCACTCCTGTCCCGAGCCCACTTTACAGGGGAAGCTGGGGCTCGGCAAGCCTGCATAACCCACCCAGGCTTGCCCACCTGCAAGTGACAGGGCCGGGGTAGCCCAGAGCTGTCCAGTCTCACAGATGGCTTTGGACCATGACATTCAGCCGTGGGGACGAATGACCCAGCCCAGGACCCACCCGCATCGGGGCAGGGGCAGTATGGCTGACGCTGGGTGTATGTGGCAGGCTCTTCCTGGAGAACAGCAAGCTGGAGCACAGCGAGGATGACAGCAGCATCCTGGGCCAGGGCGGCAGTGGCACCGTCATCTACCGGGCCCGGTACCAGGGCCAGCCCGTGGCCGTGAAGCGCTTCCACATCAAGAAATTCAAGAACTTCGCCAATGCCCCGGCAGGTAAGCGGGGCCCAGCTAGGTGCTATTTTGCTCAGACCTGTGCTTCCCAGGTCTAAGCTCTGTGCCACTTCTGAGGCCCAAGGCCGAATACACCTGGGTCCTCCTGCTGGCTGACACTGTGCTGTCCCCGGCAGACACCATGCTGAGGCACCTGCGGGCCACGGACGCCATGAAGAACTTCTCGGAGTTCCGGCAGGAGGCCAGCATGCTGCATGCGCTGCAGCACCCCTGCATCGTGGCACTCATCGGCATCAGCATCCACCCACTCTGCTTCGCCTTGGAGCTCGCGCCGCTCAGCAGCCTCAACACCGTGCTGTCCGAGAACACCAGAGGTACTGCGGGTGCCCACCCAACCCCGAGACCCAGAGCCCCAGGCGACTCCTGCCTGGCATGGGGGTAGAGCCTCAAGTGGCCTTGCCAAGTCCAGGGCATGCCCAACCCGTGGCTTGTATGACCATCCCCTGGGTATGAGGCCAGGCACCTTGCCAGGTCCAGTCACTGGGCAAAGCCTTGGGGAGGATGGGGGTGCACACACTGTGGAGTCAGGTAAGACCAGGCTCTGCTGCGCTCTGCTGAGTTTATTTGCCTGTTAAAGGAGGGTGATAACAGCCCTCACTGGGAGGGCACCAAGCACAGGAGCTGCATTAAATCACTTTTTTTTTTTTTTTTTGAGATGGAGTTCACTCTTGTTGCCCAGGCTGGAGTGCGGTGGCGCGATCTTGGCTCACCGCAACCTCCACCTCCGGGGTTCAAGCCGTTGTTCTGCCTCAGCCTCTTGAGTAGCTGAGACTGCAGGGGAGCACCACCACACCCAGCTAATTTTGTATTTTTAGTTGAGACAGGGTTTCTCCATGTTGGTCAGGCTGGTCTCGAACTTGTGACTTTAGGTGATCCGCCCACCTCAGCTTCACAAAGCGCTGGAATTACAGACATGAGCCATTGTGCCCGGCCTAAATCATTTTCTTAACCCCACATGCATATCACTGCGGAGACTCTGAGATCCTGGGGCCAATGGGACCATATCATACTTTCAAATAAAATTTTAAAGTAATTTACCTTGAGAAATGAGCAACTAAGAGTTGCCAGAGGGTGAAAGGTAGCTGTCTTTTGACTAGGGAAGAAGAAATGCTGTTAAAATTAATCACTCCTGCTTCAATGGAAGATAATTTTATAAACAGAATTCTTTATTATTTTTTAGACAGGGTCTGGCTTTGTTGGCCAGGCTGGAGTACGGTGGTGCGATCTCAGCTCACTGCAGCCTTGACCTCCTAAACTCAAGCGGTCCTCTCACCTCAACTTCCCGAGCAGCTGCAAGCACACACCACCACACCCAGCTAATTTTCCATTGCTGTTGTGTTGTTCTTGTTTTTGTAGAGATGGCGTTTCACCCTGTTGCCCAGGCTGTTCCTGAACTCCTGAGCTCAATCCATCCACCCACTCTAGCCTCCCAAAGTGCTGGAATTACAGGCATGAGCCACCACGCCCAGCCAAACATAATGCTGATATTGCAACTCGCTCCTTGACGTAGGACAGCCTTGGCCCGAGATGAACTCAAGGATGTCGAATCCTTGTGTGTGTCAGCAATTCCAGGAATAAGATATCATGAATGAAGCTATAGTGCTGAGCGTTTCTATCCTAAATACTATTTCGCTTAACCAGGCCATTCTCTGTCCCTTCTGGCAGCCTGGAGAATAGTGAGAATGTGTCAATAGAATATAAGGTATCTAGGGGCCAGACGCAGTGGCTCAGACTTTCGGAGTGCGAGGCAGCCAGATCGCTTAAAGCCAGGAATTCAAGACCAGCCTGGCCAAAATGGTGAAATACCGTCTCTACTAAAAATATAAAAATCAGCCAGGCATGGTGGCATGGGCCTGTAGTCCCAGCTACTCAACTTGGGAGGCTGAGGCACAAGAATTGCTTGATCTTGGGAGGCAGAGGTTGCAGTGAGCGGAGATCGAGATCGTGCCAGTGCACTCCAGCCTGAGTGACAGAGGGAGGCTCTGTCTCAAAAAAAAAAAAGATTAAAAAAAAGAATATAAAGTATCTAGGGAGTTAAGAAAACAGAAAGACAGCTGCTGTCATGATAATTTGATTCTATCAAAACTGAAATTTTGATACATTTGAAAATTGTTTTACTTTGCAAGATTCTTCCTTTATACCGCTGGGACATATGCTCACCCAAAAAATAGCCTATCAGATTGCCTCGGGCCTGGCCTACCTGCACAAGAAAAACATCATCTTCTGTGACCTGAAGTCGGACAACATTCTGGTGTGGTCCCTTGACGTCAAGGAGCACGTCAACATCAAGCTATCTGACTACGGGATTTCGAGGCAGTCATTCCATGAGGGCGCTCTGGGCGTGGAGGGCACTCCTGGATACCAGGCCCCAGAGATCAGGCCTCGCATTGTATACGATGAAAAGGTACCTGCCCCACCCACTGCCATCCCCTAGCCCAGCCCCACAGGGCAGGAGCCCAGCCCTGAGGCCAGCCAGGCAGTTCTGGAGGCACCTGCAGCTTCAGGGCTCAGCATTCCAAAAGCACATTCTTCTCACCCTCCCTTGCGCAATGAGGGAGGTTCTGCCTTGAACCAGAAGGGCGCAGGGGCCTGTGTCTCCCTGCTTATGACTTCTCCTTAGCCTCAGAATTCTCAAACCTCAATTCAGAAACATCATAGAGGCTATAAATGGTAGATTAAGAGTCCAAGATAGAAACAGGTCAGGATTTGGGTTTCAACTCACATTTAGATGTGCCCAGTGAGGACACAGGACCAGCCTTGCAGGGTGCTCAGGAGGAGCAGACAGAATAAGGACGCTCAAGGCCCCGGCCTTAAGCCCTGGTCACAGGGTGCTGGCCAAGTTGAATGCCAAACCAGGGGAAGAGTAAAAGGACAAGCTGGCATCCCCGGGCAATGGCACTGCCAGCCTCAGTTGAGACAATGACTACATGCTGATCTTCTGATAACATTTATCCCTGATGGCTATTTGGTAGATGCAGGGACACAGACAACTGGAAATCATCTGGCTATGCAATGTATCACGTCTAGTGTCAGCCGTGTTAATTAATCACCCAGCATTAAAGTTTCCTTGTCTATAATTTCTTATTATTTGGTGATTTTTCAGATGGTCATTGACTAATTGCTGTAGGAATGACCTGTGCACGTGTGGATTAGCTCAGCACCTGTGACTGTTGCCTAAGATAGAAAAGGCAAATCAGAGCAACAAAAATAAGAGCTTCATCATAGCAGGTGACTTCGACAACGAGGTCACCTTGAAACTCAGATGATCATGGACACATTCACAGTTAAAATTCTCAAGTCTATCTCAGCCATTCTCCTGCTAAAATGTTATTTCCTGATCCTTATTGGGGTCTGTATAAATCTTTTTGTGATTATTAAAATTAGAGGAGACACTCCTTTTTTATGAGTTGCGTACACAGCACTTTTAGTACCAAGCACATTAAGCCGAGGGTATGTGTTTACCCCCTTGTCTTGGTACTCAAGGGCAAGGACCATGGCCTGCTTGGAGTCCTTAATCAGTGACTAACAGCAAGTTCTCAGTGTGTTTTATTGAATAGAAGGATGGATGGACGGACGGATGGATGGATGGGACAATGGACAAATGGCCAGTATGGTGAGAAGTTGGATGGATGAGTGGATTGAAAAGAGGAAGGATAGGAAGACAGATGGATAAATATGCAAGATGGTCAGTTGGATGAATAGATGGATGGACAGATGAGGAGAATGGATAAAATGTGCAGAAAGACAAGCAAATGGATAGGTGGGTGGGTGGATGGATGGATGGATGGAGAGATGGATGGACGGAAGGATAAGAAAATGTATAGATAAATGAACAGAGGAGAAAGTGGGTGGTCAGATGGGTGGATGGATGGATAAATGGACAGAGGGACATGGTCAGGTGGTTGGTTGGATGTTTGTTCTTGTCTAATTGTGTCTCCCTGCTCCCTCCACCTCAAGGCCAGCTTGTGAAAGCCACTGGGCCCAGGCAGGGACCTGACTTGGCTTGCTCTGTGCCCAGGTAGATATGTTCTCCTATGGAATGGTGCTCTATGAGTTGCTGTCAGGACAACGCCCTGCACTGGGCCACCACCAGCTCCAGATTGTCAAGAAGCTGTCCAAGGGCATTCGTCCAGTTCTGGGGCAACCGGAGGAAGTGCAGTTCCATCGACTGCAGGCACTCATGATGGAGTGCTGGGACACTAAACCAGAGAAGGTACCCAGGGCACAGAGCCCAGGGCCCTGGGTCTTCCTGCCATGTGGTGGAGGCTGTGGGTCCCCAGGGTGTGCGTGTGTGACTGCCCACCCCTCACAATTGGTAACCTTTCTCTGCTCATTTCTTCTACAAGTTGAGATTTGCTGCTCCTAACATACTGTTTTCATTTTCTTTGTGTGTGTGTGTCACTCTTAGAAAACAAATTTCCTTTTCCTCCCCAACTTTTGTGTTACTTCTCCATGCAAACAAAGTAGCTCAACTCCTTTACAGCAATACAGTCCCTATGCAAGAACAGAGAGAATGAGGGTGTCTCTTTGTAAAGTAATGGGGAAAAGATTTGGCTGTAAGAATCAGGGATTGTATTATTTAGTGTTAAGGCTAGTTTTTTGTTGGTCATCTTTTTGTGTTTTTGGAAGAGGCTAACGGTTTTAAAGTTAAAACTTGTTTATCAAATCAGGTAGAGCTAGTTTAATGTATCGGGAGCAAACAGGGTATTATTTAGAAGAAGGTATGGGCATGGTGACATGGACCTATAGTCCCAGCCACTGGGGAGGCTGAGGCAGGAGGATCACTTGAGCCCAGGAGTTCAAGGGTGTAATGCGCTATCATCGCACCTGTCAATAGGTTCTGCACTCCAGCTTGGGCAATATAGTGAGATGAAGAATGTGTGTCCTTGGGCTTGGGTTGGAATACCTGGGTTTCAGTTTACCTGACCAGATGAGCTTAAGTTGTCATAGCCAAGGACGACCCAGTCACTTGGATGGGTTTGCTCCTGACATCTGAAGCTGTTTCAGCCTCTTGTTTGGATCGAGTCTGAATGAACAGAATCCCTCATTCCTCCCTGGTTGGAGCTGGCTGATCTCATGGGCAGAACTGGCATCAATCTGGTTGTAAGTGACCTTGCTCCCTTCTGGTGGCCCCTCTCCCTCAGCGACCGCTGGCCCTGTCGGTGGTGAGCCAGATGAAGGACCCGACCTTTGCCACCTTCATGTACGTGCTCCCCTGTGGGAAGCAGACAGCCTTCTTCTCGTCCCAGGGCCAGGAGTACACTGTGGTGTTTTGGGATGGAAAAGAGGAGTCCAGGTAAGCTCCTGTCGCCTGCCCTGCCGTCTTTATGTTTGGGGTGGGAGGCCACCGTGGAATTTGGGAACAGAGTCGATGTTGACCACAATGAGAATTATTTAACAGACAGTAAGTTTCAAAAGCTGGTTAGAGTCCACTCAAGAGAAAGCAGGAGGGGCAGAAGCTGAGTTCACACAAACAGATGTGTGTGAATGGTTTTGTGGTTAAGAGACACCAAAAATGGGTAGTATCTGCCAGGGTGTATGGAGACATGAGGGTGCTGTGGTATGTGCCTACAATCCTAGCCACTCAAGAGGCTGAGGCAGGAGAATCACCTGAGCCCAGGAGCTCAACTTTAGCCTGAACAGCACAGCAGGACCCCATCTTTTAAAAAATTAGAAAATTTAAAAATATTTTTAAAAAAGGAAATGAGACCCGTCAGCCTGGTTATGTGACTTTCTCAAGTATGTTCTGCTGCTGCAGATTGCAGGAGGGGTAATAGGGTGGGTTTAAGCAGAGTTGGGGTTTTGCCAGGAGGGAGAGGGGGCAGGGGCATTGGGGTATTCTCAAGGGAGTGATACAGAGATGGACCATGGAACCTAAATGAAGCCATAAATTCAGGGAGGACAATGGAAAGTACCAAAGAATTCTAGGTCTTGCTAGAGTTAAAAAAAAAAATCTCAAGAGTTATGGTATTAACTAGAGTTAAAAAAAAAAAAATCTCAAGAGTTATGGGTGAGCCCAAAAACTAGGAGGTGGTGGTCAGACAAGGTAGGCTTGCCATGGGGTGAGTGGGAGACGCACAGTCAGTGGTAAAGATAGCATCTGCAATGTGACCTTTGGAGAGGGTGCCTGGGGTAGAGTGGGCAAATATCACTAAGGAATGAGCTTGAGCCATAACAAGATAAACGAAAGACGTCACAGTTCCTTACGTCAGTCTTCGTGAGTTTGCATCAGATTTTATGCCACTAAGACTGAGTGTTCTGACACAGACATACTCTAAGAAATGATGCGCTAAAGTTTTTATGACCAGGCATTGTGGCTCATGCCTGTAACCCCAGCACTTTGGGAGGCTGAGGCAGGTGGATCTTTTGAGTTCAGGAGTTTGAGACCAGCCTGGGAAACCTGGCAAAACCATCTCTACAAAAATAAATGAATAAATAATAGAAATTAGCCAGGAATGGTGGCGAGCACCTATAGTTCCAGCCGCTTAGGAGGCTCAGGTGAGAGGATTGCTTGAACCCAGGAGTTTGACACTGCAGTGGACCGTGATTGCACCACTGCACTCCAGCCTCAGTGACAGAGTGAGACCCAGTCTCAGAAAAAAGACAAGTTATTCTAAAAGACAGCAGTGGAGCATGCCTTCCTGAGGGGATGTACTCCAAAGACAAAACAAAAAGCAAACATATTAATTAAACAGGTTTCAGTAATTATATTGTTGGTAGTACTGTTATGATTGTTATTCTAAGAAATTGCTTGTGGTTGTGGAGTAAATTAATGAGTAATTAGTTGCTGTCATTGGAAACCATGATTTTCAGTATGGGCTGAAGGGGAAAGAGATTAAAGTAGAGTAAGTAAAAGCCTGCAGTTCTAAACTGATTGGACAGACTCGTGATATATTTGAAGAAAAATAAACACATATTTCTCAGTTCTGCTCACTGCAAAGGCCTGAAAACAAGGACCAACCAAATGCCAATGTGCACCCCTGAGACCCAGACTGTGGTCTCTAAGTACCAAAGAGAGCTAGGGCTCTTCAGAATCATGGCAGAGTCCCGGTCTGGGGCAGGAAGTGGGCCTGGAACATCTGCCGCCCCAGAAGTAAGGACACCATCAGACACTTCTGAGGGCAAATCAGAGGGCTTGGGGCCAGACTGATCCTGGGAAGCTGGACTGAGCCCTGCTCTGCCGGCCTAGGAACACAGAAACAGCAGGTACCTGAGACAGTTCTGTTCAGGGCTCAGAAGACTCATCCCAGTGGGAAGAGAGAGGCCTCTTCCTGTGTCCTGCAAAAGTTCTCACCGCAGCCTGAAGAGAGACTCACTCACAAGAAGGGAGGGGGAGGCTGGCCGGAAGCACACGGGCAGCCAAGCAGGGGAATCAGGGTGGAGCCAGACTCGAGATCTGTCTGAGAATTAAGGAAGGAAAGGAGGTGGGAGAGGCAAGGCAGATGAACAGGTAAACAGGAAACACATAGGACACAATTCCAGTTGTGGGAACAGGGGCAGTTATTCTTTATGACTCTATCTTTTTAACTGTTTTCAAAGTAAAAGCTATTTAGAATATCCTAGTTTTGTTTTTCTGATGCATAAAAAAAAGATGGAAAAAAGAGGAAAATGTACCTGAAGGAAGTTTTTGTTTGCTGTATTTTCTACCATTTCTATCATCTGCAAATACGTTTTCAGTCAACAGTGGTGAAGCTTTTTAAAGTTTGGTGGCAGGAGAAACTTTATTTTGGGAACTTCTATCCACGAGTTCAACGTATCCTCTTGAGTTTGAGGGATGGGGCTGTATGATATGGGGCGCATAACTTCCCAGCCCCATCAGCTTCAGCCTCCTCTTCCGTGCAGTAGGCGCCCAGGATGCCCGCCATGGCAGAGGGGAGGCAGTGATGCTGGGGACAGCAGCCTGGTGAGCCAAGGCTCTCACAATCGACAAGCACCAGTTCTCAAAGCATTTGTGCTGGGAGCACATTTTGAGTGTTCCCCACCTCCCCAACCCAATCTCCTCTGGAATTCTCCCAACTTGTCTTTAGCCTTGGATTTGTCTTCTCTGCAGTGAGGAGCTCCCCACATCATAGGGGTGGGAAGGATACAGCCAGTGGGAGGGCCCCTCCTTCATGCTGGGGGCAATCATCTCAACCCGCAAGGATCACAGAAAGGGGGCAGCCTTTCTTCCCTCAGGAAAGCCCTTCCTGCTGGCGATGGTCAAGCATTACCCTGCGGGCAGAACCTGGCTCTGCCCTCTCAGAATGAGCAGGCTACAACCCTGGGTGGGGGCAGAGGAGATAGACGAGGCATGGAGCTGGCAGGCCAGGCCCCAGCAAAGGAGGTACCCCTGGCCCCCAGGCACTAACCGCACAGTTGCCGCCACGTATAGGAACTACACAGTGGTAAACACAGAGAAGGGCCTCATGGAGGTGCAGAGGATGAGCTGTCCCGGGATGAAGCTGAGCTGCCAGCTCCAGGTCCAGAGATCCCTGTGGATGGCCACCGAGGTAAGTGCTGCCCGCAGGCCTAGCCAGGTGGGCCCCACCAGATGCAGCCCCTGGGTGGGGGCCACTTTCATAAAAATACAGGACACCAGCTCAAGCAAATTTTCTGATAACCCTCAGCGCATCCCCGTGCAATCCCAGAGTAATGCCATGAGCCCCGTGAAATAGCGGCCTGTCACAAGGGGCGGCTCAACCCTGCCTGCTGCCGGCTGGCGGCCAGGATTAGGGATGGTGACGACCACATGTAGACCCTCAGCAGGAGAAAAGACCCAGGAGACTAGGGGCGTGCCTGGGTTTCCCATAACACTGCTGTCAGTCAGCTCGGAAGGCCTCTTGCCTTCACATCAGAGAAGTCACTAGAAGGCCCAAGGAGCTGTCTTCTGAGAGATCCTGAGAGAGCTGGCCGGACACAAATGTCCTGAGGCTGTGCATGTGGGATAGAAAGGGGCGGCTTTTCCCCAGGGTACTTTGGAAGTGTGTTCAGATACATACCACAAATCTCAGAAGCATCCATACCAGTTAGGCCTCAGGAATCCATGTTAAGAAAAATCTGACAACAGATTAGCCAAAGTGTGTGCGCCCCAGTCACAGAAGCCAAGAGATGCCCCCGCATCATTTCCTCCTGGAATGAGCGAGAGCAGGGGCTCTGCCTAAAGCATGCTGTCGGTGGAAAGAGCAGTAAGAAGACAGCGTTGCAGCGTGATTCTGCTTTTGCCAGTACCATGTGCACACACAGACACCTCAGGAACTTCTGAGACGCTGTGCCCCCAAATCCCAATAGTGCTTTTCTCTAGGGAATAGATTATGGGCTATTTTCTGTTTCCTCTTTAGACTAGTCTGTATTTTTCAAAGTCTCTACAAAGAACAGAAATACATGAGCAACCCATCAGAACGTGTCAATCCATGTTACTTTTCAAGACCTATAGGGGATCCCCAAGGCCGAGTGCATCCTCGTGGAAATGCCTTGGGAAATGCCAGGCACTTTCCTGGGTCTCACAGTGGACCTGTCTGCCTCTGCAGGACCAGAAAATCTACATCTACACCCTCAAGGGCATGTGCCCCTTAAACACGCCCCAACAGGCTTTGGATACTCCGGCTATTGTCACCTGCTTCTTGGCTGTGCCTGTGATTAAAAAGGTGAGATGAGGGCCAAGGTGGGTATGCAGGTCTCTGATGCGCTTCTGTGCCTGGGAGGGGCCCTCTAGTGGGAACAGCCCAAAGCTATGTCAGGGTGGGGACTGCAGAGCCACATCTTCTAGGAACACCTGGCCTAGGACACAGCCTCAGACACGGTGGGAGGAAAGACATCAGACCTGGTCCATCATTAGTGCCTTCTGGTTTGCGAAAACCTAAGTGCCCGGCCAGACTGAGGGCTAAGTGAAAGGGGAAAACTTGCTTTCACATGCAAATACCCTGACTCGGGTGGAATGCGTGTTGGTGCAATGGCACAGTGAGCAGTCATGTGTGTGCCCTTCCCTTCGGAGGGCAGTGGCATCTGGAGCCTCTTCCCCACCTGCCCAGGCCAGAGCCACCCCATAGCCACTTGGTCACCAGGTCCTGGAGGTCCTAATCTCCTTCCTTCCATCTCTGCCTCCCCCCAAGTACTCACCATCTACCCTAAACCCGATTCCTCTGTCCAGCATGGCCCTGCAGACTCATCTCTTTAACCTCCTAGCCCTGGCCTTCCAAAATAAGACCCCAAGGGAGCCTAGCCAGCTGTGCGGTACCTTGGGATTAGCCCCAGCTTCTGTGAGGCTGTCCCCCAGCCTCTGCCGGCCCTGCACCCTCTCCACCCAGCACCCCACTCTGCTGAGTCCCCGACATCCCAGCCTCCTCCAGGAATAGCCCCTCCACACACCTCTTCCCAGACCGCCTCCGATGCGGTTCTCAAGACCAAGGGCCTTGGCCCCTTCTCTGAGAAGCTGCCCCTCCGTAGGAGGAGCTCCCTGGCTTGTCCAGGCTCCTCCACCCACAGGATTCAGGCCTGGCTCAGGCAGTTCCGGTTTCATCCACACTGAGGGGCCCATCTGTGCAGCAGGTACCCTCGGTAAATGCACAAGAAGCCTTTACTGGTATCGTTTTGTTAGAATGCAGTGCCAGACGCAGTGGCTCATGCCTGTAATCCCATCACTTTGGGAGGCTGAGGCAGGCGGATCACCTGAGGTCAGGAGTTCAAGACCAACATGGTGAAACCCCATCTCTACTAAAAATACAAAAAAATTAGCCGGGTGTGGTGGCACATCCTTGTAATTGCAGTTACTTGGGAGACCGAGGCAGGAGAATCGCTTGAACCGGGGAGGCAGTGATTGTGGTGAAGGGCAACAAGAGGAAAACTCCACCTCAAAAAAAAAAAAAATGTGGGGACTATCACCACCCAATTCCAGTTTGCCCATCTACGAAATAGGTACAAGAAGGGACAGAGAGAAGGCCTAGCATAAAAGGTCGGGCTATTACTACTTTGGGATGGTTGCAAAATATGTGAGCTCTTCCCTTCACCCTTCTTCAGTTTCATTTCTAAAAAAAAAACGAAACCAGGTATGAAATTAACCTTAGAGTCATTTATGACCATGGCCCCACAGTGAGGCTAGGCAGCTTGGGACCCGGCCCCCACAGGCAAACACGACACAAAGTGTTATTGAGGCCACCACGGGCCAGAGCCCCCAGCCAGGGCACCACCTCCCACACGACCAGAGGGAATAAAGCCGGCTCTGTGCAAGGCCTCCTGTGCAGGGTGTCTGCCCCCTCCGAGGCCGCCAGGGCAGAGCCTGCATTCTTGCACGCGCACGCATGTTCACACCCAGCCGAGACGTGGCGCTCACCGCCCTGGCCGGGACCTGAGCCAGGATTCCAGATAGAGACCTGGAGCCTGTTTGCCTTGGCTGCCTTCTGTCCCTGAAATCCTGGGGATGGATTTCGATACGCTTGCTTAGGTCATGTTGTCCTGGACAGTGAGCTGCGGGCCACCACTCCATTGCCCTGCACAGCCAGCCTCCTGAGCCCCCCAGCTCCCCACAAGGAGGCTTTCCGCCCTGCCCCCTCACTGGCTCGAGGCCCAGCTCCCTGCTCTGCCCTGACTCTGACTTTGTTCCACAGACCTCTTCCCACCCCTACCACAGCCGACTCAGTGTCTAGGCTGCAAAGCTGTGCTCTGTTTCCGGCTCTGCCCTGGGAGGTACTCGGGGAAGGTCTGGGGTGGGCCCAGCATTCGGCATGGTCTCTACAACTTTGGCCTCTGCCCCGTGACCTCTGGTGGGTGTAGAAGAGCTCATTCTTCATTGCAGGGGTAGGGGGCACCCTGAGGACCCCGTCACCATCAGCTGGACCACAGGCATCTCAGACAGATGTAAGCCGGGATGAGGGCTCAGCAGGCTGAGACAGGCCTCCATGAGAGGGTTGAGTAGGAAGTAATTTCTTCCAGAATTAGTTCCGCAAACACATGTTGTCCACTTGGGGCAGGAGCCAGGTGGAGTCACAGGGCCACAGAGATAAAGGAGACCAAGCCCTTCCCTGTGCCAGGCCAGTGCCACGGGGATGCTGGTGGGCAGGGGGCCCTTCCTCATGGAACACTCCACCTGGTGGGGTGGCAGGCAGGACTGGGAGGCAGTGCACAGATGCCTGCTATGTCCACACTGCTGTCACGTGAAGCGGCACCCAGGAAAGGGCAGGCACCAGGTCCTGCCAAGGAGGTCTCAGTGGCCTCAAGGAGAAGGCAGCTCCCTGCTGCTCACCCTGCAAGAAGCTGGCACCAGCAGAGGCAACCCATGTGGTCCAGGTGACATGCCACCTTGCTTGGTGCCACAGGCCCTGCCTGTCGGTGGCACATTACTTTCTTTGCTGCAGGGATGGTAGATGTGGCTCTGCTGGGCCACAGCTGCACTTCCTTAGGAGCTGGTTTTCTAAGAGCTTTGCTGCCCTGAGGTTTGTTGGTAGAAAGCCACCTGCCCGCCCAGTGTGGGTGCAGATGAGTGCAGCGCCTCCTCTGTCTCTGTTGGAACGTGGGACGTGGGAAATGGAAGGGCATGACGCATCCTGTCTTCCCCTGCAGAATTCCTACCTGGTCTTAGCAGGCCTCGCTGATGGGCTCGTGGCTGTGTTTCCCGTGGTGCGGGGTGCCCCAAACGACAGCTGCTCCTACCTGTGCTCACACACGGCCAACAGGTCCAAGTTCAGCATCTCGGACGAAGACGCCCGGCAGAACCCCTACCCGGTGAAGGCTATGGAAGTGGTCAACAGTGGCTCTGAGGTCTGGTACAGCAATGGGCCAGGGCTCCTTGTCATCGACTGCGCCTCCCTGGAGATCTGCAGGCGGCTGGAACCCTACGTGGCCCCCTCAGTGGTGACGTCGGTTGTGTGCAGCTCTGAGGGCAGGGGGGAGGAGGTCGTCTGGTGCCTGGATGACAAAGCCAACTCCTTGGTGATGTACCACTCTACCACCTACCAGCTGTGCGCCCGGTACTTCTGCGGGGACCCCAGCCCCCTCAGGGACACGTTTCCCGTGCGGCCCTTGGACGTGGAACCCCCGGGCAGCCACACAGCCAACCCAAAGGAGCCCGAGGGGGACTCCATCGCGGACGTGAGCATCATGTACAGTGAAGAGCTGGGCACGCAGATCCTGACCCACCAGGAATCGCTCACCGACTACTGCTCCATGTCCTCCTACTCCTCGTCTCCACCCCACCAGGCTGCCAGGTCCTCCTCAAGCCTGCCCAGCTCCCCAGCAAGTTCTTCCAGCATGCCTTTCTCCACTGACTATGAGGACTCAGACAGGCTACACGAGCCTGGCGCTGCCTCTGACAGGTCTGAGCATGAGCTGACGCCCATGGACGGGGAGACCTTCAGCCAGCACCTGCAGGCCGTGAAGATCCTCGCCGTCAGAGACCTCATTTGGGTCCCCAGGTAAGTAGGTGAGGGCACTATCCAGGCTCTGCCCACTGCTCCTGCTCTGTGGGCAGAGCAAGGAGAGCCCCTGGCTTCCTTAAAGGTCATGTGGGGACCCAGCAGGGACTGTTCTTCCAAGAGGGTTGGTTCCCTCCATTGGGAATCAAAGCAATGTTTTTAGCAAATCTAAGAGTGGCCTCATCAAAGCTCATTGCCTGCCAGAGAGCTTAAGGCGCCACACAAGGGAAGCCGCAGTCAACTGCGATTCAGTTTCCACTGGGAAAGTTCCCCTCTACTTTGGGGTCTGTCCCCTCCCTGTAACTTAATCCCTTAGCAGAAACTGCACGTCTGTTGCCTCCCTCCCGCGCCTTTCTGCACATTGGCTTCACTCCCCCAAGCGCACAGCTACGGACAAAAATGTTTCCCCTTCTGGGTTTTGGTTTCTTAGGCGCGGTGGAGATGTTATCGTCATTGGCCTGGAGAAGGATTCCTGCGCCCAGCGGGGCCGAGTCATCGCCGTCTTAAAAGCCCGAGAGCTGACTCCACATGGGTAAGACTGAGGGGCAGCTCCTTTACGACCCAGGCAGCAGCATGAGCACGGAAGCCCCCGCAGCCAGGTCCCCCACCATGGCCTTGCTGCCCTTCCATTCTCACAAATAGTACATCCACCGATGTGGCCGTAAGGCAAAGTGGGGACAAGATGGGGTCCCCCAGGCAGCCCCTAGTGGCTCTGCACTGGCCATGGCTGCCTGTTTCTGGAGCACCCAGTGCACCTGTAGAACAGGTACCCTGCCTAACAAATGCCTCCAGAGCCAGAGTTCAGCTGCAGTTGAAATGCAGATGCATCTAGGCGATTGGTTCCCTGTTCTTCCTGCCAAGTAGGAAACCCTGTCCGAGGTGCCCATCTGCCCACACGGCACCCGATGGTGCCTGCAGAATGCTCATCTCCAAGCCTGAGTCTCACCTCCTGTCCTTCCTGGGCTGAGGCATGGCTCGGTATACCCGTCTATGGGTGGGTACCCCCAGGAGGCATGCCAGTGTCCTCTGCAAGGGTGTACTGGGCAGGGTGGCCTGCCCAGGACATGGTCTATGTGGCTGGAGTGATGTGAGGCTGGCACCAGCTGCAGCTCCACACCGTGTTTACTCCCCTCACTTTGACGACTGAGCCCCACATGGCAAATCTCCCTTATGAGAAGCCCTCGGGTGTGTGTGTGTGTGTGTGTGTGTGTGTGTGTGTGTGTGTGTGTGTGTACACCTTGGAGCTCTTCCATTTCGCACTAGGCCTGTTTCCCTGCAGCATGCATTATCCCCCATCCATGGGCAAGTGGGTGTTTATTTCATCTGGAGCATAAGAGGGTGGAGAAACCCCGGTCGGTGTGTTTCTCCCAGAGCAGGACCATGACCAAGGCAGCAACCATGGCGTCCCACTCCCATGCCCACCAACTTTGCACCTTTGCAGTGGGTCCTGGGCCAGTGACCCTTGCTCTGTAAGTGATTCTGGAAGCAAGATCTGGATGTGCTCCTGAGCTCTGGCAGAGCCTGTGGATGGCAGCCTGGAGCCGACGGAGTTGCCAGCTTGCAGGTCGGGCTTCTGGAGGAAATGGGTGTGCAGCAGCCAGGTCCGGGCCTTGGCACACCTGCCATTAGCGTCCTAACCTTTAGCTGTTGCTGCTTTTCCTGTTCGTCCCCCAAAGCCAGCTTTTACCTTTTTCCCACCATAGGGAGAAAGAGGCCCCAGAAGCCAGCCTAAAGGGGGCCCTGGCAAGGCCATGCGGAGTCAGAGGCCTCTGAACATCCCAATTTGCAGGAGCGCCTTGGCGCCATGCAGACCACACACACACAGCACAGAGGGAGGAAGGGCAGTCAGTACGTGCTCGGGGTGTGGCACCCCCAGGGCAGGGAGGCCGCACCGTGGCCCACAAGGAAACTTGCAGCACACCCACCGATCCTGCAAAACTGTCCACAGTTTCCACAAACATACTGCTGACTTTGGGGCGGTAGGCTTCCCGTGTAGTGTATGATCCTGTACTTCCTAATGAGAGAAGAATCACAGTGAGCTTAGTGGCAAGGGAGTTGAGTGAAGCTCCGTCATGAGCCATTCACAGGCAGACATTTGGGTCTAGGGTGTTTTCTAGACCCTTTGGGGACCGAGTCAAGGATGCCTGATCTGATTGCCTCTGTGGCCTTCCAGGGAGTCAGATTCTCACAGAAAAAGCTCATGGACATGAACTCATGCCCACAGCTCGACTTTGCACTTTATAAAGCCTAAGCTCATAGGCGGGGCTGCCAGGAGAAGGGGCACATCTGAGCACACCTGGGAGAGGACTGGCATGCAGACACATTTCCCTCCCCTTAGCCAGCTCTGCCTTCCTCAGATGGCACAGGGTGGAGGTCCTGGCCCCACCCAAGTGGGACCCCTGTGAGTTTCCTCAGACCCCTTTTCTCTGCAGGGTGCTGGTGGATGCTGCTGTGGTGGCAAAGGACACGGTGGTGTGCAGCTTTGAAAACGAAAACGCAGAGTGGTGCCTGGCTGTCTGGAGGGGCTGGGGCGCCAGGGAGTTTGACATTTTCTACCAGTCCTACGAGGAGCTGGGCCGGCTGGAGGCTTGCACACGCAAGAGAAGGTAATTCCTGTGGAATGACAGTCACGCGTGCAGAGCTGGCTGGTACCAGGCTGCAGCCTGACCCCTCTGCCATCAGCCTCTGGTTCTCCAAGGCCCTAGAAGACAGATGGAGTTCACCACTGAACTCCTCGCTGCTAAGAAGTGCTGAGAAGTGACCCGCCTGGTGGTGGTGGTTCCAGGGTTCTCCGGTTCTCTGGAACAGAGTTATCTGAATACCCCATACCCCAACTCCTGATTTTACAGCCCCAGGGAAGACAGTGGGATCCGGCTGGGAGGGGCCTCCTCTGGCCTCCTCCATCAGTCTCCAGGAGCAGGGGTGGAGGTTCCTATTCTGAGCTGGCTCAAACAAAGACGGGCCAGGCCTTCGTTCCATCCCCAGGTCTCAGATGGAATTACACTAGGGGCCCTCTGTTGGGAAGCAGTTGAGGTAGAGCAGGAGGTGGGGCCTGTGACCCCTGCCCTTTCCCCCCTGGAGACCCCAGGCTCTCAGCACATTTCTCAAGCTCCTGAGGCCCCCAGGCCTGGACCAGCTTGGGCAAGCCAAGATCAGATGTCTCTGTGTTTGGGAAGGTCTCTGTGTGGGAAAGCCCTCGGAGGACCCTGGGTGAGGAGTGCTCCCCCATCCAGAGAATGAATGAGTTCCTTTAAGTTCACAGCCAGAAAGCCCAGGGTTCCGTAGTGCGAGGGCACGAGCTCAGCCTTTACATTCTTCTCCAGCGACAAAAGGAAGGGGAAACTCAATCAGCAGGAACTGAGAAAGGGCCTTGTGTTTATAGCTTTGTGAAGTAAATTTGGACGCAGCTGGAGCACAAACCCTGTTTGTTTGCACATAATAATCTTGTTTATCACTTTAAAAACTTCAGTAATATCTCAGCGGTCAGGCTTCTGGTTGTGAAATCAGATTGTATGGGATTTATACAATTATGTATTTGCTAAACATTCACTCCACACGTGTACAGCAGAGTACAAAAAGAAAAACTGTCAGCAGGATTTATGGATACAATAGCAAACGTTATAAATTATGCGCATGCATGCATTAGGCTCCGGCACACCATATAGGCACACACATGTGCAAACAGAGCCACTTTTTTGTCAAGGGTTACCGTTTGGGGCTCCTTCAATCAGAATGCAAGCTTGAATGAGAGATCATACTCCAGCTGAAGTTTCTTGACCCTTTTCTAAAATTATAAAGATCAGACTGTGTATTTGCTGGAGATGCAGGGAGATGAGACTCTTGTAACCTGCAAATAAACAGATTCCTTCAAGAATGAAGCTGTGGCCTCTGTCTTTTGAGCTCTAATGACCACAGCACAGGCTCAGCCCCTGCCACACCCACTTGCTGCCTGGGAGTAACGGGCAGCCCCTCCTCGCCCACGGTGCCTGCATGCAGGTGGTCCCTGAGCAGCTTCCATGGGAGGAGACACTGCTCTGTCAGTCACAGGCCTGGAAAAAACAACTCCTCCCACTTTTTTTTTAACCAGTCTGGGCACCAAGTCCCAGGGGGCCTGAGGGTCTGTGCTTACTGCCTACCTCCCTGCCATTCTTTCACCCTCGTCCCACAGCAGGGCTGCAGGGGACCAATTCTCCCTTTCCTCTCATTCCAGTGCACCACAGCTGCCCAGTTCACCCCCAAATACAAGCCAGATTCTGTCTGCCCCATGTCCCAAGCTTGTGCTTGGCATCGCCTGAAGCCAGACTGCTTTGCAGGCACCAAACTCGCCCTCTCCTACTCGAGGAAAAGCCAAGCCCCAGGCGTCGCAGAGCCAGGGGAAGGGATCTCTTCACACCACACTTAGAAATCGTATGGGCCTGCGGTCCCAGCTACACAGGAGCCAAGGCAGGAGGATCGGCCAAGCCGGGAGCTGGAGGTTGCAGTGAGCTATGATCATACCGGCTTTCTAACCTGGGTGACACAGCAAGACCCAACTCTTTAAAAAAAATCATACAGGAAATGACTAATGAGCTCGACTCCATGAAACTGAAACTTACATGGAAAAATTAGTCCAAAGCTTAAAAGTAGACTATCAACTGAGGAAAAAAAAAATATTTGCAACACAAATGAGAGACCAAGAGTTCACTTACCTTTATTACAGAGATCATAATATCCATAAGAAAGAGAAAACCCAAAAGGCAAACAGGTAAAGGGCATGGGCAGCAATTGAATTACAAAGAAACAGACCCTTAAACAGCAGTGCTTGACCTCACCTGACAGCAAGGAAACAGACCTGAAGACTTGAAGACAACAGTAAAATGTCACTTACCACCCTCAGATTGGCAGAGATTAACCGGCCAGCAACTCCTTCCTGAACACCACCTACTAAGTGTCAGGCACTGTCACCGGACGCACAGACAAGAATCTTTGTGGGGTTTTTTTGTGTGTTTGTTTTTGTTTTTGAGACAGCCTTGCTCTGTCACCCAGGCTGGATTGCAATGACACCATGGTCCAGCTCACAGCAACCTCTGCCTCCCAGTTTCGAGCGATTCTCCTGCCTCAGCTTCCCGAGCAACTGGGACTACAGGCACATGCCACACAGCCGGCTAATTTTTACCATGTTGGCCAGACTGGTCTTGAACTCCTGACCTCAGGTGATCCTCCCGTCTCGGCCTCCCAAAGTGTTGGGATTGTAGGTGTGAGCCACCACGCCTGGCTGAATCTCTGCTTCTAGGAGCTCACTTCTTGTAGGAGGAATTGACAATAAGCACACAAACAAGCGAGGTAGGGCAGCCAGCTGGACCACCCAGCTGGGGAACTGGTGGCTTGGCCTAGGGCTGTTACAGTTAACTGAGGCTGGGAGGCTTGCACCCTGCACCAGGAGGTACAATGTGAGACTGAAAACTGAGAGCACTAGGTGCAAGGACGTTGCACGTGCAAAGGCCCTGTTGTGGGATCAAGCCACTGTGTAGGGGAGACAGGAAAGCCTGGCGTGGCTGGAGCCTTGAAGGAGGGGAGGAAGCATGGCCCTGATCGCAGAGAATTGCAAGTGTGGGTCCCCGCTGAAGTTCCTGGCAGTTTTAAGCAGGATTATTACGTGATGTAATCATCTTTACAAATCACTTTGCTGAATGGAAGATGGATTAACAAGGGAGTAGTTGGAAGTTGGGGCTACCCCTTGGAGGTCATTTTGGCCTTATCTACCCAAGTTTCAAATGCACATACCCTCTGACCCAGCAGTTCCACTTAAGTATTCGGTCCTGAAATATTTATAAAGGGGCCCAGAGATACAGAACAAGGATGTTGATTGTAGCATCTCTTAGAGTACGGCCCCAAACAGGAAGCAACCCGAACCTCTATCAGGAGGGAAGTCATAAAATCCCTGCATGTACAACAATACGGTACTCTGCAGCCTGTCAAAGAGGCAGACAGTGCTAACTGTGCTGGTCTGGAATGTTCTCCAAGATATAATAAATGCATTTTTTTGAAAGCAGCTTGCAGTACAGTATGTATTGAGTTACCATGTGTGTAAAAAGCATTGTAGAGCTCCACGTGTATGCACAGGGAAAATATCCCACAGGACACCCAGAGATGTGGCAGACACTGGTCGCCTGTTGTGCGGAGAACTGAGGGCTGGCATAGAGGAAGGGAACCTTTTATTCTGAGTGTACACCTTCCTCTCTGCACCCTGAATTGTGTGCGTGCCTTATGATGGAGGTAGTTAGGCTGGGAAGGGCCTCTACCCTGAGTCCTATAGGTGCCTCTTGACCTTGGTCTCCAGAGGTAATGGGGTGTCCCCCTTTGTCCTCTCTCCTCTGTGCGTGTCTGACTCCATGGAGGACAGGTCCTGGGAAGGGTTGGGCCCTCTAACAATCCTGTCCATCTGACTCCATGCTCCTGGCTGAACCAGAACCTCCCTGGCTGTCTTTGGGTAAAAGGCACAGGGCCCCAGCCGAGGTGGGTGGATCACGAGGTCAGGAGTTCCAGACCAGCCTGGCCAACATAGTGAAACCCCACGTCTACTAAAAATACAAAATTAGCTGGGCGTGGTGGTGTGTGCCTGTAGTCCCAGTTACTCAGGAGGCTGAGGCAGGAGAATCGCTTGAACCGGGAGCAGTGGTTGCAATGAGCTAAGATCACGCCACTGCACTTCAGCCTGGGCAGTGGAGCAAGACTGTCTCAAAAAAATTAAAAGTTGCAATGATACCAATACAGTTACTAACAAGCATGTACACTGTAGTACTGATGGAAATGGTTAGAGCTCATCGTACATGTATATGTGTATGTATATCCCCTTCTTGGAAGCATGTAGGAGCTGTCGCTCTGGGGGCCACACTGATGACCAGCTAGAAAGAGGTCCAACAGGGAGGGGCCCGCAGATGTGGGGCAGCCGTCTGTCCTGAGACAGCCCTGAGACAGTGAAACGCCTGCACACACCCACGCCTCCAGGCCTAGGAAAGACCCTCAAGCCGGCCAGTCTAGCACATGCTAACAAGATATGCTTCCCTAGTGCTAGTGAAGCAAGCCACAAAAGCAGAACTTTTTTTTGGAGATGGAGTCTCTCTCTGTCACCCAGGCTGGAGTGCAGTGGTGTGATCTTGGCTCTCTGCAACTCCACCTCCCAGGTTCAAGCAGTTCTCTGCCTCAGCCTCCCCAGTAGCTGGGATTATAGGTGCCCACCACCACGCCTGGCTAATTTTTGTATTTTTAGCAGATACGGGGTTTCACCATCTTGACCAGGCTGGTCTTGAACTCCTGACCTTGTGATCCACCTGCCTCAGCCTCCCGAAGTGCTGGGATTACAGGCCTGAGCCACCATGCTTGGCCAGAAGTATATCTTGTTAGCATGTATATGTCCCACCAGCATATCATAAGAGTGGGGCAAATGACAGCTTCACTTCAGGAGGTAGACATCAGGCTGCAAACAAACACAAAGCTTCATGAAAACCTTGAGCTTCTAACATCCTACGGATGCACACAGACACGTATGTGCAAATACATCACATACACATACACATGACACACGTGCATGCATACACATATAAGGGAACTCGTCATGCAGGAAGGACACAGCCTAACACCTGAGCTCATGTTATGTATGAAAGTTTTATTTTTGGTGCCACAAAGAGAAATTAGTACTGGGGCAAAGGATCTCTCAGCACAGCAATTCTTTTTACTTCCTGCAGAAAGGGTAGTCCCACTAGCAATCTTGCCATAAGAGTACAGCAAACAAAGGAAAGCAGACATACGTATTTCTTATGCATTTGGGGTTGTCCTTACTGCTGTGTCTGATCTCCATTGGCTGGAGCCTGACCTCACAATCTAAACTAAAACCCGATTGGCTAATAACTTGAAACTTTTCTAAACAGGTAAAAGCAATGGAGAGCAAAAAAAAAAGGAAGTCTAAATAAGGAAGGGCATAGGCTGTGAGCTGAGACATGCCTGTGAGCACATCAGCACAGACATCTTGGTTAAAGTACAAGGACATAGAATGTACTACGTGCCTGTGAGCATGTCTAACATAGACATGCTACATAGGATAGGGCTTCTAGCAAAAAGCAAGAAGGTTTTTGAAGACAGGGTTTAAAACAAACTATTATTTCTATCACTTACGAGTTTTTCTTAAGAAAGGAAACTTTGAAGAGGAACTTTTCTACTTCCCACAGCTCAGGTTCCAGTCACCTTGGGAGGAACAGCTGGGAGCACTGCCCCAAATGAACTGTCGACACCCTGGCCCCTGTGTCCTCAGCTCTTATCTGGTCACACTCTGAGGCCTTGCCTCTTTTCCAGGGGTCTGGAATGGTCGCTGCAACCCTAGGAAGGCTCAGAACCCCTGGGAAGAGCTATGAGCACGGCAGGAAGATGGGGAGTGGGCTGAGGAGGGGACGTGGGAAAGAGGCTTCAGCATTGGGGTCAGTTCCAGAGAGAGCAGAGTGTTTCATTGTGTAACCAATACAGCATTTTACACGTGTTTTGACTGTTTGGGTGTTCGAAGCACTAGAGAGTGTCTAACATTTTAGACTTTAAATATTTACCAGTGGGATCCAAAAGAATGTTAAATCAGTGTTTCACTGGAGGACTTGCCAAAACTCAGGAGTTGTATGTTAGATGCCGAAGTGGTATGTTACCGTTTGGAAAGGGCTGATGGTTTCATGTTTAACAGCTTCCTGAGCCTGATAATTCTGGTGTCAACCGTGCAGTCATGCTCAGGGTACTGCTCAGGCAGTAACGCGTGAGGCCAGCAGCGCCCTCACAGCCTGGCTCCTAGGAAACGCTCATGTGTTGGCCATGAAGACACTTCAGATTTGCTGACCGAAAGTGCTGGGATGACTGACTCCATTTCTGTGACGTAAGGGCAGAAAGATCTGGAAGAGAGTGGCATCCATTTCCCAAGGGCACCTTCAGCCCACTCCAGGCTAGATACCCCTTGCACCCCACAGCGTTCAGCTCACCCAGAAGCCCGGAGAACCCAGGGGAGGTGTGAGCAATGGAAGAAAGATCAGCAAGGGGGCCTCACCAGGCACACCGTGTCACTCAGCAGTGGGGCAGGGACAACCCTCAGGGAGTGGGACATATTAGCTGTGCTCTGGGAGGCTGGGAACAATGGCCCTACAGCATCCCACAAGTCTTAAGTGCTAGGGCTCCCCCTCCCCATCCCCGGGGGCGGCAGATCAAAGACCCCAACCGGAAGCCCACAGCTCATGGCATGGCAGCCCATCGTTTGCCACTGGGAGATCTTGCGCCTCTGTGGGGTGACGGTGGCAGGGAGGAAACTATCTGACATTGCTGTGGTTCACATCTCTCTTACTTCTCTCTTGCCAACAGGAAGCTTGACCCCTGGAAATTCCCCTCCAGTTGCCGTAGGCCCCCTCCCCATTCTGCAAACCCCTTTCCCAGGCATGGGGATGCCCGCTCAGAGTTATTTCTACTGCTCAGCAGCAGGAGGCTACGTTCTGGAGGCTGGAAGACCGGGATCAAGGTGTCGGCAGGGTTGGTTTCTCCAGCGGCCTCTCCCCTTGGCTTGGGGATGACCACCCTTCTCGCTGTGTCCTCACATGGTCGTCCCTCTGTGTGTGCCTATGTCCTAATCTCCTCTTATAAGGACACCAGTCCTACTGCATTAGGGCCTACCCTAATCGCCTCTTTAAAGCCTCTGTCTCCAAATACAGTCACACTCGGAGGTACTGGGGGTTAAGACTTCACATGAATTTCAGGGGACCCAGTTGAGCCTATAACACCCTTCATGTTCTGAAAGCTGTATGGAGGGTTCCACGGAGCATAAAGGCCAGCCAGAGAGCATGCCTGAGGGTGAACAGAGGCTCTGGAAGGAGGACAGTGCAAGGCAAGGAAAGGCACCCGCGATACACTAAGTGAAACAGGGGGCCTGGGGATCATGTTTACTCAAAAACTGTGGAGTGCTGTATAAATGTGTAAATGAAAAGGAGGAAGGACATGGACCAGCAGTGGTTACTCCTGGCTGCTGGGATGGCCCCTAACTTTTACTCCTTTCTTTTAAATTGTTTATATGTAGAATTTCTTTGGCAATAAGAAAAAAAATCAATGTTACGAAACTATTCTTTTTTTTTTAGACAGGGTCTCACTCTGTCATCTAGGCTGGAGTGCAGTGGTGTGATCTCGGCTCATTGCAGCCTTGATTTCTGGGCTGAGGTGATTCTCCCACGTCAGCCTCCTGAGTAGCTAGGACTGGAGGTGCACACCAATATGGAAAATTGTTTCTATTATTTCTATTTAGCCTGGCTAAATTGTTTCTATTTTTTGTAAAGACAGGGTTTCACTCTGTTGTCCAGGATAGTCTCAAATTTCTGGGCTCAGGGGATCCTGCCACCTAGTCCTCTCAACCTGCTGGAATTACAGGTGTGAGCCACTGTGCCCAACTAAAATATTCATTCTTTACTACTATAAAATTACTATGGAACCAAGGAGTGCACATCCATGCTGTGATTGGTCCCCTTTGGGACTCCAAGCATCCTGGCAGCAACGCCAAAAAGGCATCATTGTCAGTTACCCGGTTCCCAGAATCCAGAAACAACCCGTTGTCCAAGTGGTACGCAACTGCCTTGCTCCTCCAAGCCTGGACAGGAATCTCATTTTCCCGAGGCTGCGGGACAGAGGGCCTTTTCAGTGTCGTCTCTTCTAACTGCCTTGGACGAGGGGGTCGAGGAGGGTGCTCCCATCCAATCATTGCTGGCCCTTGAAGGCCTAAAGCATGGCTTCCTGGTCTCAGAAGGACCCCAAGGTACTGGCGCACCTAGTATACCCAGCCTCCAAAACTCCCTCTTGGAGCGGAGTTTCTGAATGAGAGGGAGGCTGGGTGCTGGGAGTGCCCACCCTCTGATGAGCACAGCTGGTGTTCTCTCCCAGGATGGGGAGGGGCAGCGGCTTCTCTCAGCCCTGGGGGCTGGCCCGGAAGCTGGGTCTCCAGTGCCCTCGCTGTTTCTGTGGAGAGTTGAGTGTCTGATCACTGCCAACTGGAAGCCCCCTCTCCCTCTGCCATTTCCCAAGTACTAAGGTACAGGACCCAGGATTCTCAGCTGCCCCTCCCCGCACACTGGTGTCTGTCTCCTTCCCAACTGGGCACTTTCCAGAGGCTGGGTAAATTCTGGTGGCCCAATGCATTCTGCTGGTTCTGCTGCCAGGACTTACGGCTGTCATCAAAATTCCCCTTGACACGCATCCCCGCATACTCTTCAGCTCCCTAGTCCAGCCACTTTGCCCAGAGGTGCCATGAGAATTCCATGGCTCTGGAATTCCCCAGCCCTCCAGAGCCCCAGCTGGTCAGTGGGACCAGAGCAGTCTCAGGCTGCGCTGAGGACCCCGTCCCGAGACGGCTGGGCTGGCTCCAGCAGCGTTCCACCACCGTCCTCTTTCCATGTCCCGGATAATGAACACCTTTAGCGGGATCAATGCACAGCCAGCTGCTGTGGCCAAGACCTGGGGCCTCCTGCCCACTCAGCTCCATCTGGGGTGTGGAGTATCCTTCACTGCAATCCCCACCTCAGCCACTGCTGTGCAGCTCCTGATCCTCAGCTTTCTCATCTATAAAACCAAGGAATTAAACAAAGGACCTGCACCCAGGACTTAGCAGAGCGGGATGCTTGGCAAGACTCCCAGGCGCCAGTCACCCACTTCCCGAGTTTCCGCTGCAGCCCGTCACCTCCCACAGCCCCCAAGTGCTGTGCATCAGCGGCCCCACCATTTAATCGCATGCTTGACCACACCGAGGTCTGCAAGACAGTGGTGGCTTCCAGCACATGAGCACCAGGAGCTGACCTCTTCCCCTCCTCCAGAGTGGCCTCTGGGATGTGGCCATCTGGCTGTGTGCCAGATGACATCTCTCCCACCCCAACCCAGTCCTCCATCTCCAAGTCCAGCCAAGGCAGCCATGTCAACCCTGCCCTCCAGGCAGCACGACCACTACCCAGGTCTGGAGACAGAGGAGAACAGAGGGGAGGAAGAGGATGGGGGCGGGGGGAAGCTTCAGCCGACAATGAGGTAGAAGGAACTAGAAAACACCTCCACCTCTGAAATAGTGGCATCAGGTCGCCGAAGCCTGAGATCCCGTGCGGCAGGAGAAGTGGAAGTGAATGAACTCTTTATCTGGACTTTCTTTATCAAAACGGTTTAAATTGGATCCAAGGCACACTAGGTGTTTCTGCCCTCCGTGCAAGGTTTCTGCTCCTCAGTGGAGCCGTGGAGCAGACAATGGCTGGAGCCCAGCCTGCCCATCGGCGGGGCCCGCTGGGCGGGGGCCTGGAGCCTGCACAAGGCCAAGGCGATCTCAGGAATCAGGGCTGGACCCCTTCCAGCTACTAGTCTGCCCACCCCAGAGGCCCCTGTCCTTTGAGCTTCCTTTATTGGTTTCCTTTTCATTCACTTTTATGTTCAGAGGTCAATCCTGAGAGAACAGAGAAATGCTGGGTAGTGCAATTTGATGCAGGGCAGCTGGGGTCAGGGTCAGAAAACGGGCCTACACTCCCTCCAGCACCTCCTGGCTGGGTGACCCACAGCCGCCTCCTTTCTCCCGGGACCTGTGGCTCCTCCAAGCCCTGCCTCCTTGGTTGTGATGAAAAACCAATGGCTATGTTCCACAAACTACCAGTTCGTTTGCAATGGAGGCCATGGGGGCCTCCAGACAGAAGAGCCCAAGACCCCTGAGTACAAGGAGGGGGCAGCAGGGAATTGGGCCTCTGCTGGGCCCTGGAAACCCCAAAAGCCAAAGACCCAGGGCTTTGCCCCAAACCTCCCCCTCAAGGCCACGCTGAGGACTAAAGGAGTGGCCAGAGCCCAGCCCCACGGGGCTTTTCCTTAATGTAGTGATGGGCGTGTGATTTGGAAACACAGGCCCAGGTTCAAATCCTGCCTCTGCCAATTGCCAGCTGCCAGACCCAGCGCAAGTTTCTACACCTCTTAGATCCTTGTGTCCTCACTGGCAAAGATGGAAAATAATACAGGGATGGCGTTCTGGAACGGCAAGTTGTAAGGGTGTATGCGTAGACAGATCCCCACGCAGAGAGGACGCATCAGGGACAATGCCGCAGCCCCACCCGGGCTCCTGGAGTACAGGCTAGGTGCACAAGGCCTCCAGTCTTTCCTGTCAGCACTCCTTGGGGACATCCATGCCCCCTCCCCAAGCCCACCCTCCTGACCTTGGCACGCTCACGGCCAGTGTTACATCTTTCCTGCTGTCTACTTCTGTTCCAGTCAGGGAGGAGACCCTGAACCTCAGGCTTGGCCTTAAAAGTTCTCTTCAGCTGCACACAGCTACCCCCAGCACAAGAACAGGGACAGGAACCAACAGCAAGGGGCCTGGCATTTCCTAAGCGACAAGGACCTACGGAGGAACTCCCATCGCTCAAGGTAGGGCATCTGCTCCTCCCAGTTCTCAGGGAGGGATTGCATCAGGTCTGGGGCTGGGCTGAGAGGACTTCCTTACCTGCTAAAGGGAGACAGGCAGGTGGACACCGGAGCGGGGAACGTGAGGGTCTGGGTGCAGAGGTTTCCTTGTTGCCCCAGAAAAATGTGACACTCCTCATTGCAGCCCCTCTCCCAAAAACCAACCCTCCCCAGTCACCATTAACTTCCAGGTAGTAACGGGAGATGGGGGAGAGGGGCCCTTGGGCAAAGCTGGGGGCTGGGTCCTCTTTCTCCCACAGCAGAGAGAAAGAACTCGGCAGACCTTGGTGGCTATCAGCTGGGGGCTTGGACAAAAAGGTCTGCTGTTTGCCAAAATGTAACAGCTCCTCTCCCTCGCTGAAGCCCAGGAGTGGAGGGAGCCATGCCAGCCTCTCCAGCCCGTTCCTTAGGGCACCTGCCCCCATTCAACCCTCTGGAGGGAGCAGTTCCCGTGCCCGCTGCCAGGGGGAGCCCCGCTCCAAGCAGCCGGACCCTGCCCTCCCTCTGGCTCTGCCTGGCCCCACCACGACAGGGGACCAGCCAGCCGAGAAATGGCTGCCCCTGGGCTCCTGGGCTGTCTGAGAAGAGTTTGTGGCCTTGATGAGTTTACTTTACCAAGTATTCCCAAGTAGGATGCCTTCTGGGGAGAAAGGAACCCTTGTGACGGGTGTGGACGAATGTAAATACAGACACCCCAGCAGGCAGGCAGAGGTCCGGAGGAGCGGGCCTGCCTCGGGGCTGGCTGCGGGGCGACTTTCTTCTCCAGGCGTTCTAGTTGGCATCTTGTATTTCGTGTGCAATAGAAATTTTTTTTTACTGTAACTTGGCTTTTTTGCATGTGCTACAGGCTTATGAATAGTCTGGTCTCCATGTGCATGCATGTGTGTTTGTGTGTGCATGTACGTGTGTGTTTGTGTTGTGTATATGTGTGTGTTCGTGTGTGTTTTTATGTGTATGTATGTGTGTGTGTGTCTGTGTGTTGTGTATATGTGTGTGGGGTTTTCTGTGTATGTATGTGTGTGTGTGTGTGTGTGTGTGGGTTTTTGTGTGTATGTATGTGTTTGTGTGTGTCTCTGTGTGCATCTGTGTGCACACACACATACTTTAATGTCCCCAGCGTGTGGCCCCATGGCCAGGTGCAAGCCTGGTCTGTGCCCACACTAGGGAATTTCGGCGCTCTGCAGCCCAGGGGCACATTGGGAATAGGGGAAAGAGTAGAAAAGGGCCTGGAAATCCGGAGAACATTTTTCCTGAGTCTCTGGACAAAAGTAGCTTCTACAGCTCACAGCTGGGACCTGCGAACCCTGCGGTGTTCTCAGCAAAACTCCTCAGAACTTAGCCACGAAAGGCAAGCCTGCAGCTCACACTCGTGTCGGCCACCCAGAACTCCTTTGTGTTAGCCTGCCCCTGAAACAAATAGGGCAGAGCATGGCAAAGGTCTTGTCCCAAGGCCCCTAAACTGCAGCCACAAAGGGGACACCATCCACCAAGGAAGCTCTAGGTCCCCGGGGGACTCTCAGGACCACCCCCCCCACTGCTTGGCTCCAGAGTGAGGCTCTGCCTGGCTCCCCTCATTCCAGAACCACAACTCACAAGCCAAGAAACACAAGACCAAAAGCCACAAGAACAGTCACAGATAGTGAGGG